CAGGCTTGGTAATGACAATAGTTTGTGCAAAATTTGTTTCAAATCGGACATTCCATTCGCATAATATTGGATTTTTAAATATTGAAAAATTTTGACCCTTTTTGGGGGAGGTACCAGAAGTCCCATCTTCCAACTTGAGAAATTCGTGGTTTAGATAATAGGTTGTGCAATGTTTGGTTCAAATCGGACATTATATTTGCCTGATATTGGATTCATAAATATGAAAAAATTAGACCATTTGTGTGGGAAGTACCAGAAGGAGTGGAACAATGCATCCCATCTTCGAACTTGATATAGGTTTGGTAAAGATAATAGGTTGTGCAAAGTTTCGTTCAAGTAGGACAATCCATTCGCCTGATATTGGATTCATTAATATTGAAAATTTTTACCATTTGTGGGGGAGGTATCAGAAGGAGTGGTTTGGTAAATGTGATAGGTTGTGCAAAGTTTGATTCAAATCGGACATTCCATTCCCCTGATATTGGATTCATAAATATTGAAAATGTTGACCCTCTGTGGGGAAATTACCAGAAGGAGTGAACCAACGTGTCCCATCTTCGGACCTAATCTAGTTTTCGTAAAGGATTTCATTTTATTATAAAATTAATTTTTAGTAAAATTTTGAGCATTTTGTGGGGGAGGTACCAGAATGAGTGGACCAATGGGTACCATCTTCGGACCTAATCTAGATTTCGTAAAGGTAATAGGTTGTGCAATGTTTGGTTCAAATCGGACATTACATTAGTCTGACATTGGATTTATAAATATTGAAAATGTTGACCCTCCGTGGAGGAGGTACCAGCAGGAGTGGACCTACTTGATCTAGGCTTGGTAAAGATAATCGGTTGTACAGAGTTTCATTAAAATCGTGCAAACCGTTTGTATGTTGTTATATAATTAATTTTTGGCGCAATTTTGACCATTTTGTGGGGGAGGTACGAGAAGGAGCGAACCGATAATCCCCATCTTCGAACTAAAACTAAGTTTGGAAGAAATATTAGGACGTGCAAAGTTTGGTTGAAATCGGTTAATCCCTTTGAGAGTTCTCGTGCGCACCAGCCAGCCAGACAGACGGACAACGCAAGAACGGACATGTGTAAATCGACTCCAAATTTTCTGAAACAGATTTGGTCCAAAGAAACGTGGGGTCTAAAACCAATATTTCGATGAGGTACATTTTCACCATATCAAAGTGTATATACCCTTATTGGTGGGCTGTGGGTATAAAAATAATAACTTCATCTAGACGGATATTTAAACAATCAATAACTTCACACAGGCGTTGATTTTTTAAACATATTTTTATAAAGACAACACCTTTATATATGCGCGGACTTCTTAAAAATATTTTAGCAATGACTTTATACAGGTGTGGATCTTTAAAAATAGTTTTTTAAAAAGCTTTTGTGAATTTTTTAAACTAGTTTTTAAAAGTCTTTGTGGATTTTATTTTTTTCGACTTCATATAGGTGTGTTTTTTTAAAGCATATTTTCTAAGGCCTCATATATGTTTGAAATTTTTAAAAATATTTGTCAATGCAACATATAGGCGTGATTTTTTTTAAATATTATGTTTAAATGTTATAATGTTTTAAACATTATTTTTTTATAAAGAAGTTATTTTTTTTTTCGTTCATTGCCTGATAAAAAATTCAAGATCATTGAACTGTGGAGAATGATAGCTGAACTTTTAAATTTAGTACACAAAAATAATATTCTCTTCTAGAGATGATTACTATTTTTAGCTCAAACAATATTAAGCATATTTTACAGCTAATAATAATAGTAGCCAAAAACCAAACCATTAATTAACATCATTTTATGTTTTACTTTGTATCTACTTCCTCTTAACTAGGCCAATAACTAGACATTCTCCAAATGTTTGTTTCATAACCCCAAACTGTCTATGCAAATTTCTCATAAATAAGTTTCATGACTATCCCCCAAAAGACCACTAATTAAATTTCCATTTCAGTGGCAGGAGGGAAAATCCCAACATCTACACTATGATATGAAGAGAATAGTTAAAAGTGAAAATTAACCAATTTTTTTTCTTGGTAACACAAAAATCTATAATTATCTCAAAAGTTAGTTGAGTCTATTCCAAAAAAATCTTTTTCGTCTTCTTTGGTTTCTTAGAACCTACTAGCAAAAAAAAAACATAGAACGAGAATAAGAAAAAATAAAGTACTTAAACCTTCTTCTTCTTATTTGAACAATAGAGAAGAAAAAACCCTCCAGTATTCAAACATAGATGGTGGAAGATTGAAAGCAAAGTTCATTACTTTCTATTCAGTTTTGTCACAGACGAGCGAATGAATGAATGGATGAACCAGCCAGCCAGCAAACAAGTGATGGTGCTTTGGTTTTCTTAGCTGCCATGGTAATGAAACTGTATAACGCCATCTATTCAGGGAGCACAAAACAAAAACTCACACGAACTTTTGAATTCCAATGAACCATTTTCTTAAGTATAAAAGAAAAAAATGGGGGAAAATAAAAAAAGTTTATTTTTCGGAAAAATTGTCATGGCATTTTAAACACATTTTGAAAATGTCAATTTGAGATGCTTCATTTCAAATGTACGAATGTGGATTTAAAAAAAATGTGTTGAAGAAATTTAAACGTGGATTTAAAAAAAATATATTTTTTATAGGCGTGGAAGACCCATAAAAAAGGGGTCTTCCTAAAAGCGGAAATTTTTACAAATTTTCTAATTTTTTTAAGGCTTTGATTTAAAAAAGGTTTGTCTTTCCAATACCCCACCCTTTTTCTCATGAAAGAAAAAAATTCTCCATCAGTATAAACCTGTATTCCTCACCTCTTAGCTCCATATCGCTTGTGAGGTCAACAAAAGTTCTCCACTCCAGACATTATGCAATTGTGTTAATTAATCGTTTTTTGGTCCGACAGACATTTGCCACCGGTAGCGATAACGGTAGCCAGCCAGCCAGCCACACAACCGAGACGATGACCCAAAAGACGTGTGAGAAATGGAGCAACATATGAACGTGCTTTGCAATTTGAAATATCTTTTAATCTCCTTCCACATACAATTGCCATGCATTTGCATCTATCTGCATGGACTGGATTGAAAATTTTCAGTTTGCAAATGTAGGAAACACGAATAGTTGAAACTTTTCTGCCATAAGTGGTGGTGCAACAGAAAATTAGCAACATTTAGTTCGGTATGAATTAAAAATAAACTGAAAAAAAATATGTGGAAAATATTATTCCAAAAAATAGACTTTTTCAATGCCTTCCTATAGGCGTGGATTTTTCTACCCTTCACCACACTGTGGTACAGGCTATTATGACTTTGTGCATATGTTTGTAACAGGCAAAAATAATCGAGATAGACCCATGGTTCCTTTTGAGAATATGCATAGAATCACTTTCTTAGTCGATTTATGCATATCCGCCCGTCCGTTTGTCCATGTTAAATTGTAAAAAAAGTACAGGTCGCATTTATGATCCTAATTGGATGAAATTTGGCACATCTCATTTGTTTGGCCCAAGGACGAACTTTATTGAAATTGGGAAAAATCGGTTAAGTTTTAGATATAGCCACCATATATATTTTCGTCCGATTTAAGGTAAATGGAGTACCAGAGTCTCTATATATCTTTCGATTTTCACGAAATTTGGCACATCGAGCTGAATTAAGTTTAGAATGATGTGTGCAAAGTTTCGTGAAAATCGGATCAGATTTAGATATAGCTCCCATATATATACTCGTCCGATTTAAGGTAAATGGTGTATTAAAGTCCCTATATATCTTTCGATTTGCACGAAATTTGGCATAGCATACTGAATTAAGTCTAAAATGATTTGTGCTAAGTTTCGTGAAAATCGGTTCAGATTTAGATATAGCTCCCATATAAAGTCCCATATATATTTTCGTCCGATTTTAGGTAAATAGCCCACAAAAGTCCTTATATATATATCTTTCGAGTTGACCGAAATTGTACACAACGCAATGGATAAGGTCTAGAATGATGTGCAAAGTTTCGTGAAAATAAGTTCAGATTTAGATATAGCTCCCATATATAGTTTCGCCCGATTTAAGGTAAAAAATCCACTCAAGTTCATCTATATCCTTCGATTAGCATGAAATTTGGCACATCGCAATGAATAAGGTCTAGAATGATGTGTGTTAAGTTTCGTGAAAATCGGTTTAGATTTAGATATAGCTCCCATATATATATATTCGTCCGATTTAAGGTAAATGGTGCACCAAAGTCCCTATATAACTTTCGATTTACACGGAATTCGGCATAACGTACGGAATTGCGTATACAATAATGTGTGCTAAGTTTCATGAAAATCAGTTCAGATTTAGATAAAGCTCATATATATATATATATATATATATATATATTTTCGCCCGATTTTAGGTAAATGGTGCACCAAAGTCCCTGGAAATTTTTTCATTTGCACGAATTTTGGAAAAGAGTACTGAGTTAATTCTAGAATGATGTGTGCATATAAAACCGTACAGATTTATATATAGTTCCCATATATATATATATATATATATATATATATGACACAACGTACTGAAGTAATATAAATTACTCTCTGGCAAGTTTTCCTGAAATTGGTTCAGATATAGATATATAACAAACACGCGACGTCTCTTAGGATACATATGTAGAATATACCCAACGTGGTGAAGCGTATCATAAAGTCGTCCCAGTCCGACTTTACTACTTTCCTTACTGCTTTAAACATATTTTCACTTTCACTACTTCATATAGGCGTGGAATTTTTAAACATATTTTTTCAACGGCCTCATATAGGCATGGATTTTTTTTTTAATTTAAAGGTCCTGCTATCAGCCGATATATTAAAAAAAATATTTTAAATTTTTATATAAACTTTTGTCTAATATTAATTTTCCTATTTTTCATTTCATTTCAGATTATGGCCTTTTATCGAACTGAATAATACAATTTGAAAATCATCAATAACAAAATCTCACACACCCACAGACATAATCATGTCTTCGTCAATATGTACACATTTCTCCCAGAATGCCTGGAAAAAAGATTTATGTTCGAATTGTTTTAAATCGAAGGATGAGCATAAACAAGCTGCTGCTGCCTTGGCTGCCTCCCGATCCAAATACACCTCCCTTTCGTCAAGTTTAAGTTCGGGCCTTAGCTCCAAGTCATCCTCCTCAAGCGATCCAAAGACTGATTATCCAAATAAAAATAAGAAACCTGCAAAAAGTATCATCAAAAGGACACCCGGAAAGGGTAAACATAAATCCCATAAAGTAAATTTCCCTAAAAACATCTCCGAAATTATTGGCTATGGTGGTGAATGGTCCGATGATTCGGATGATGATCATGATTTTATGAATTTAGCCAATGATAAAGATGATGATAAAATTTCGGGTTCCGATGATGAAGAGACCATCGAATTGAAACGTATCACCCGAGCCAATACAGACTTTAATATGAATAATGGTAATTTACTGGGCGACCCGCAGGAAAATATTAAGAAAACATTTGCGGCATTAAAATTGGGTGCTCCCCAAGTCGATAAGGAGGGTAAAAAGCAAACATTGCAAATTAATGTTTTGCCATTTGGAGCCAATGAAACCAAGGAGGTAAGTGCAAAGACCACCCAGGTGGTGGCATCAACCTCCACGGCAAGTAGCAGTAAATCTGCTGTGAAAGCTAAATTTGAAACAAAAACAGAAAACACAGTCACCACCACAACAACTACAACATCAATTAAATCGGTGGCAAAGAAATCAAATACCACAAGTTCTAGTAGTTCGAGTATGTCCAGCAAAGCCCTCAACGATCCAATGTCTTCCGCAATGGAAAGTGATGGCAAGGATAGTCCACCCATTGAAAGGGCCATGGAGAAATCATTGTTGGATGAAATTTCCGAAACCTTGGAAAAGAAACAAACAGAAAAATTGGCCACCGAACAAAAGGCCTCAGCAGCTGGTGGCAATACGGCCTCAGCCTCCAGTAGCTCTGCGGGTAAAATTAAATTCGAAATTGGCAGCCTCACTGAGTCATTGGAGAACAAGACCTTTCTCGACCTTAAGAAGCCAATTGTGCGTAACCCGCCTATCACAAAGGATCAAGTCAAACCCAAAGTAAATGTGTTCAATAAATATTCCGATTCGGATAGCAACTGTTCGGATACAGAGAATGGCATTTCCGCATACTATGATGTGGTGGAGACCTCACAGACTTATGAAAATCTACCCGATGGTAAATATGAAAGTAAAGATAAGGCAAAGGCGAATAGCTCCGCCAAGGCAGATCAAACCGATTCCAATTCCTCTTCCTCCAATGTTTTCTCTTCTTCACAATATATCACAGATATGCTGCTTTCTTCCAAGACCCGGGCAGCATCGTATAATCTACACGAGGGTAACTTTATGACCAGTAAAATAACCTCCGATGGTTTGATTGTCACGAAATGTAGCTCCGATGATGCTCTCGATTCTACGGGCAGTAGTTTTGATGGCAGCAGTGATGAAGAGACTTCGTATAATATGATCCGCAGTGAATCGGATTCGGGTATTGGCATTAGTATCGGGCATGATTATAAAAACATACACATGACCGAAAAGGATAGAGATCGCTTGAGAATTGAAAAGAAATTGAGTGCCAGTACGAATAATTCCGATTATGAAGATATTCAGGTGGCAGATCAGAAGCCCTTGATGACCCTCAAGGAAATTAAATTAAATGAAGAAGTGGAGAAGTCGGCTCCATTCTTATTGGAAAAATCAAGGGAGTTACATGGGGAGCCAGATGGCAGTGCTGATCCTGATGGTAGTTTGGAAAATCAAGAGCCCCAGGAAATACCACCCTTGCCTAAGTCACCACCACCCACAACCAAAGTTATTGATGCTCGTCCATCCTTCTTGCATGGCTTGCAGAAACAACATCCTCCCATTTTGCTAAAGAAACCGGATTTGCCAGTTAAGCCATTAGTTTCACCCACACCAAGTCCCATGAAGACCTTCCTAACAAAGAGGCCACCAACCACCACCTCTACCACTTCCAGTAATAATAACAACTCCAATAGTGGTATATCTTCACCACCCTCCAATGATCAACAGCAGGTCATATCCCAGCTACAAATGATCATGTCCAAATCTTTGGAAAATCAGGACAATGACTCTACGAAAGATGAAAATAAACTGAAAAAGGGTAAGGCACCCAATCCTCCGCCAGCACTAGAAACCAAATCCAGTGCCCCACCATCACCTGAAAAAGATTACAATATGGAGGAGGAATTTGCCAAACAACAAAACAATGAACCTCCCAAGCAAACCCCATCTCAGGCCCCCAACAAGGATCAAGAGGAACCAAAAGAATCCCATTACTCCGCAAATGATTTTGGTAACTCCTCCCCTGCGGCCTCAATGTATACACGCAAAATAGGCGCCATGACCAGTGACGGCACTGTGGGTAAAAATTCCGCTGCCGCTGCTGCCATTCGCGAAAAAGATAAACGTGAACGGGCCATTATCAATCCTAAGTTCCGCAGCCTTAACACCTTTGCCACTCAACGCAGCAATGCCATAAAAAATCTGCAACTTCAAAATGCCACATCCTCCATCAGCTTTAATCAATCACTCACACCCGAACCTAAACCGCGAACTCCTAAAACCCTTTCCGCCTCGGAGGAAAATCTCACTGCCGATAGTATCACCAAAACTGTCACCACATCTATGTCCATCACCAATTTGGCTACAGCCTCCTCTCAATCGGGCGATAAGAAATCCTCTTCCTCGGCCAATCAAACCAAAACTAAAACGAAATTTTCCATTAAGAAATTTTTACGCATGGGAGCCAGTAAGACCACAGAAAATCTAACCAAACAAAAGGAAAGCATTTATTCGGAAATTTGCACCGGCGAAGAGGTGGGTGTTGCGGGCAAGCCGCGTTTAGTCATCATCCATCCCATCGACATCAATACCACAGCTGTCGAAGTGGTCAAGGACATAACAAAGACAAACGATTCAGTTACAGCCCAAACAGTGGCTGTGGTCACGGCCAAACCGCCGGCACCACCATTACGTTCCATGGACACGCAACGTAGTCACGAAATGAATAAGCCAGCAAGGCCGCCGCCACCAAAAAGTGCAGAATTGCGAAGAAAGCAACAGATTGCATTGACCACATCATTGCCAATGGCATCGTCGTCGTCATCGCCATCCTCTACGCCATCGGGAGCAGCAACAACAACATCAGCCACATCTGCAAACTCCACTAATGGAACAGGCAATGCCAACAGCAGCAGCAGCAGTAACAATAATATTACTTCCTCGCCCAAAACATCGTCATCTTCCACATCAGCCAGCAACAACAACATCCGCATTATGGGAGGAGGAGGAAGTTCAGCAGGAGATCAACAAAGCGGTTCGATAAAAAGCAAATCGGACAATGTTTATGCCAATTTAGGTGAGTACATAAAAAACGAACTTAAAAGCCTCCATAAAAACAATGGCAAATATTTAAGGTTTACTTCGTTATTTTTTTAATGTTCGGGAGAGGATGGGACAGGGTCGTAACTGAGAGCTTATATTATATATTTGTAATATAATCAAGTAAAAGCGTCGTAACATTTATAGTCCACTATGAGGAAGCAGACATAAAACAAAATAATTAAGGGAATTTTAATGGTTCCAGCCTCATAGGACCTTCAAAATTTCTAATATAGTTCTGGGCCTTTATATAAGGTCATGTCAAAACATAGGTTCATGTTGGTTTTAAAGGAGGTTTGGGTATTTTATGAGAACCTGTAATTCAAATCTCCAACCACTTCGGTTCAAAAATGACGGCGGGACTTTCAAAATTCTTAAAATATGACGGGACCCTTATGTGAATGTTATGTGAAAACCAGGACTTATACGTCTTAAATTTGTCGGGACCCTTATGTGGAAACCTGGACCTATATTGAACATTTGTGTATGTTGAATCTTTCTGGAAACCTATATATTAAATTACAGAAGTTTATAACTGAGGGTGTAGCCTTCAAAGCCCAAAAATTGGTCGGAACATTTCTCCTAAAGGAAATGAAACTAAATAAACATGTCAAGAAATCTGAAATCCACCACTTCGGCGAGTAAAATTAAATTTTAAATTGACATGGATGTCGGCTTACTACGATGTCGTGGAGACTTCACAGATTTATGAAAATCTACTCATATACTCATATGGCTTTGGAAATCCGAATACACATGTCGGGTCGTATCATTTTTAGAGGGCCTATTTCAATATATGGAATTTGAAACCATTTTCTGCAAAAAAATTATGTTCGCCGAAATGCCAAACAACAGCTAACCCGTATCAAAAATGAGACTGAAACTAGGACTACGTCCATCAGAATACCAAAAAGTGTCGTGACATTTGTAGAGGGCCTATGTCTATGTATGGAACAATTTTCTGTGAGGATGAGTTTTTGCCTCCAGAATTCGAAATGCCAAACTACTGTCAACCCGTATCGAAAATATGGCGGATTCCTTATATGGTGACTATAACAAACCGTGGAAAGATATAATCACCTTATGATAGAGGGCATCAGAAATGAAGCTAAAATTTTCAAAGAACCGAAAATATGGCTGTTATATTGAGGGCTATTGAAGAACCGTTGGGTCATTCTGCCTTATGCTAAAGCGTATTAAAATATATTTTTTATAGAAGTTATGGAAGATATAAGACTTCTGATAAGAAGAAGGTCCTATATTTATAGAAGACTCCTTTATATTCTGTACGTCTTCAAGAGATGGATAGAATACCGTATATAAAACGTCTATTATAAAACATATATTATAATAAAAGTTATTTTTTTAATGGAATATATATTGTAGACCTTCTATATTTCTACGGTCAACTTGGTACATTCTATAGGTCTCCTATGGTCAGAATACATTTTATAATCTTCTATAAATAGAACATTCTATATAGGTCCTCTGTAGACAGAAGTTCTCTATCTGATCTTCTCATAAAATATCTGAAGTTGACCTTCATGGGTCCCCTATGGCTAGAAATCCACTGGAGATCTGGACAGGAGATCTTCTGTAGACCCATTTAAATTATTTTATCTATAGAAGGACTCATGCAGGTATTCTGTCTAATTCTAGGTTTTCTTCTTGCCTATCGGGAATAGGTTTTATTGGACTTCTACAAACTGAAGATATTCTGCAGATCTTCTAAAGACATAAGACCTTATAAAGGTCTTTTATAGGAGTCGTGTTGTGGACCGTTTATATTTATATGGACAGATCAGAAAACTTTTTATAGATCCTTTATATATTCTATCTATAGAAGATATCCTACAGGTGTTCTGCCTAATTCTAAGTTTCCTTCTTGTCTATCGGGAATAGACAGAAAATCTTTTATATGTATTCTATATATAATATTTTATATAAGTCCTCTTCAAGCAGATGTCCCCCTATATGGCCTCTCGTATAATATCTTCAATGAGTCTCCAGCGGACAAAAGGCCTTTCAAAAGACTTCTATCGACGGAAAGTATTTTATAGGTGTCTATAAAAGATAGATGTTCTTCTATAGGTTTTCTTTTGCATAAGACTTTCTATAATTATCCTATAGACAGAAGACCTTCTAGATAGAAAAATTTGTATAAGCTTCTGTGAACAGAAGTTCTTCTGTTTGGCCACCTATGAACAGGTCATAGTAGACCTTTATTAGACCTATGAACTGTAGACGATATTCTATAGGTTTAGTAGAGACACACGTAATTTCATATGTCTTCTATAAAAAATGTATCTTCTTTAGATCTAGCAAAGGCGATACCTTTTATAGGTGTTTTATAGGAAAAAATGTTCTTTAGGTCTTCTCCAGGCAAATTATCCTCTTTTATAGGTCTTCCACATACAGAATTCCTTTGGCGGGTATTCCATAATTTTCGAACTAATAATAGTCCCATATATTTGGAGTTTGTATACACCTCATCAAATTGTTTAACGACGTCTCTGACCAAAACCTTATCACACTCTATAATATCCTAGGTATGCCAAATAATAAAAAAATAAGTACATATTTTTTAGACAAATAGTTGTGAAGATGATCTCCTATTCTATGTTGTATTTTCTCAGTTTAAAAAACTATATTGCGTGTTTAGGAGGTATTACATCCAATGCCATGATGATGATGTGGAGAATGTTGATGATCTATAAGCACAGAATAGCAACAAAAAATCATACTACATTAAAACAAACGACAGCTTATGTCAGATGACAGAATACCTTTAAGGCTGGTGGGCAACACAGATGGATGATGAATTTACAAGTTCCTATTGACTCACTACCTCTGACATACTTCCGTGTCCCTCACTTCCCCCAAAAAAACGCAACCTGGTCAATTCAAAGAGTATCGTTTAAACGTAATTAATTGCAAACCATTTTTTTCGTTGTTGTCGGTTCCAACTCAAACTAGGCTGTCGTGACCAACAGCAGCAACAGTCCACAGTCATGGCATTACATGTCATGAATGATGTTCGGACAGCATTTTCCAACATCAGTAACATCGTCATCATCTTCCCGTGTCATCCTCCTCGTCATCATCCTCTTCATTTTTGTTGTTTTGATGTAAAAACATCATCATGTACAAATGATGTGAAACGTTTACGTACTTGCGTAATGCTTTAGGGCTTATTTCCTCAGTTTTTTTCTTGTTTTTCCATCTATCTATTTATCGTACTTTTTTGCTAATAGTTGGATGTTTCTTCTTTGTTTTTTTGCATTTGTTTTCCTTCTTGCTGGACGTAACATTTCCTGGAAATGGAGCATTAGATAAAATGATTCAAGAACTGTGAACCTCTTTGTAATGGTTTGTTTTCTCAGTTTTGTTGTTTTTGTTCTTTTTATCTTTGATCACAGGATGTTTTGGTCAGGAAGTTTACGTTTTTTGAAGTTAAATTGAATTTTTATGATGTGTCGTGAAATTGAAATGGGAAATAATGTTTGTCATTTTTCAAAAAGAGAAGAATAAAAGGGCATTATAGTTGCAGGATGGTCAGTATATAGTAGGTTGGGAAAAAAGAAATCTGTTATTTTTATATGAACTGTAGGACTTTATTTAACATGCTTCGGAATGTCCGATATGGGCCAAATATGCACAGTTTTGTGTATGATTTTTTGTAATTTTAAATGTAACATCATATTGCCTCTTTCGTAGAAGTCATGCTCTCTATTTACAAAAAAAAAAATCTAGTAGTCGATTTTCACAATCCTCCCTAGATTCCAATTTTTATCATTAAACAAATTTTGCAATACAAAAAAAGGAGATAATCGCTTGGTCCGGACTGTATGGCGGATGCATTAAAACATCCCAATCAAACTCCAGAAGTTTCTGGCGAGTCACTGTAGATGTGTGTGGCTTACACTTGTCCTTGTGGAACACGACAACTCTCCTATTGGCCAATTCTGGTCGTTTGTGGTCAATTGCTATATTCAAATGGTCCAGTTGTTAACAGTAGTGATCAGAATTTAGCGTTTGGTTTGGCCACCGTTTGAGGTGCTTCACCGCTCTTTTACCACAATCGTTTTCGCACAGGATTATCGTATGTGATCCATTTCTCATCTCCAGTCACCATCCGTATAAGAGATTGGTATATCTGTTTGGCCAAGGCTTCGCAAATGGAAATTCGATCCATCCTATGTTAATTGATGTGGCACCCAACATCGAGCTTCTTTTTGAATCCAGGTTTGTGTAAATGGCTTAAAACAATTTTTAGCTCCTGGTGATGTTACGACTGATTTTATCGACACTTTAGATGACCGGCCTAATGGATTTCTTTTTCCCTAACCTAATATATCGCAGATATATATCTAATCCGACCCGAAGATAACCAGCTTCAATGGGGATCATTCTTGGTCTATTTAAATGAACCGTGCTAAATTTCCAAAATACTTATCCTCAAAAATAACCATGGTTCTAAAGGTCTCCAGAAGAAGACCTTCTATGGTTCTACCATAGCCAAAAGACTTTTATTGGTCTCCTGGGGACAAAAGTTTTTCTGTTTGGCCTTGTCCCACAACAGACCACCTTCTATAGATTTCGTACTAACAATAGGCTTTCCATAGTTCTTCTGTGGTATCTTATGGACAAAATACCTTCTATAGGTCTTCTGTGGACAGAAATGTTTTCTATAGATACAAAACTGTTTGTATGTCTTCTAAGATTATTTCGAGATATAGAGGATATTCTATAGTTAGTGGACCTTATGTAGGATATTTTATATAGGTCTACTATAGACAGATGTTTTACTATAGGCCAAGATAATTATCCTCAAAAGTAACTACGGGGACTACTATAAAAATAAGACCTTCTATAGTGTAGTGTATCTACCATACACTGCTCATCCAAATGGCGGATCTATATCCGAAGTCTTTTGGGCCAAGTCTGTTTCAAACAATTGGAGAGATTTAAAAATGT